GGAGCGCAACGAGACTTGGAGCAGGGCAAGATCGAGCTTGAGGATCATGGCAGCTGGGATGGAAGATGGTCTTTGCTGTCCCGCACGATCTTTGAGGCCCTAGAGACAGGCAACATGACAATACCTCCTGGTGGTGCTCTACCGAGTCATGAGGTCTTGCAGACAGGTGGTCACAAGGAGATCATCTGGAGTCGCTTGAGTGAAGAAGATCGAGCAAAATTTCGAGAAGCAGCTGGAGAGCAATGGGACAAATGGATGGAGAATGGAGCACTGAAGATCTTAAGCTTGGACGAGAGCCGGGCGGTGCTACAAGATCTGGAACGACGAGGAGAATTGGCCAGAGTGCTGACACCACGGTTCGTGCTCACTGACAAGAACTCAGCCCATCGCACCCCGACCAATCAGCTGCCGCTCAAGGCATCCGCAAGGATCGTGGTTCCAGGCTTTCGCGACTTGGAGAACCTCCGAGGACAACTACGAAGAGATGCACCGACGGGCAGCCGACAAGCCCAACACGTTCTCTTCAGCCTCGCGGCCTGTCATCCAAGCTGGTTTCTTCGAGGAGCTGACGTTCGAGCAGCTTTCCTGAAGGGAGACCCCTATGTTCAGCGCATCCTGTACATGACAGGAACAGATGGCAGCAAGGGACCAAGCATCCCTATTCCCAAGGGAGCTGTGGCAAAGGTCCTGAAGGGCATCTTCGGTCTGGCAGATGCACCACGAGAATGGTGGCTGAGACTGGACAGGGAGATGAAGAACCATGGCTGGACGAGGTCTACCTTGGATGGTGCACTGTGGTACTTCTGGCGGAAGAATGACAAGAAGCAGAAGGACGCGCAGAAGGACCAGAATGCCAACGGGTCTACCTACATCCCGGAGAATGACAAGGAGCTCTGTGGAGTGGTGGTTGGACACGTTGATGACCTACTCTTTGCAGGGGATGGAGGAGGATGGAGAGGCTTTGGAAAGTCTCGAAGCTTTGGGAAAGGTCTTGGGCTTTGGCAGCATTGAAGCTGAAGCTTTCACCTGGTGTGGCAAGAGGATTGAGAGGGATCCCAACACCGGGGACATCGTCATTTCGATGAAGACCTACCATCAGCAGCTCACGCCGGTGGTGGCGCCAAGAAGCCGAAGGCAAGAGCTGAGCTCCTTGCTGACACCCCAGGAGATAAAGAAGCTGAAAGGCATCTTGGGATCACTGCAGTGGTTGGTGGCTCAGGTCAGGTTCGATCTGGCATTCCATGTCAGCAGCCTCCAGGGAGAAAATCCCCCGACAGTGGGAACGCTGTTGCGCGCCAACAAAGCTCTCACCGAGGCCAAGAAGGATGCAGACTTCGAGCTTCGCTTCAGGAGCCTGCCGCTCCAGGAGTCTGGCATCATGATGGTGTCGGACGCTGCTCTTGGCAACGTCAAGGAGGATGGCTCCGTGACCGGGCAACCTGACGAGCGCCTGCATTCGCAATCCTGCTACATCATCATGATGGCAGATCCCCAGCTCATGGCGGGCGGCGCTGGCAAGTTCAATGTCTTGGACTTCCGCTCACACCGCATTCCGCGGGTCTGCAGGTCTTCGTACGCTGCAGAGGCCATGGGAGCTGAGGAGGGGATGGATTGCGCAGAGCTGATTCGAGGATTCCTCGCCGAGGCAAGAGGCATCGACATCACGGGCAAGGACGCCTACATCCAGATCACCAGGGTGCCGCTGGTGGGAGTCACTGATGCGAAAGATGTGTACGATCGCATCACTCAAGACACTGGATTTGGCACGCAGAAGTCACTGATGTTCACGGTGGCCAATCTTCGCCAACAGCTTCGACGGCCTCAAACGACGTTCAGGTGGACAGCTACCTCAAACATGTTCGTCGACGCTGGAACCAAGGTGATGGATGCCGCCCACCTCAAGCAGACCATCGCCAAAGGAACTTGGAGCATCGAGTACAGCCCTGACTTTGTGCGCCAGGTATCCAAGAAGGCCAAGAAGAAGCTGGAGGAGAGCCAGAAGATCGAGACGGCTGAGCTTCCCGGCCGAGAACCGACGGTGGCTGACAGCGCACTGCTGCGCTATGTGAGGGAGTTTGGAGAAGCTCCCGGGTGGCATTTCACCGACAACATCGGTGTGCATGCAGCACAGCATGCAATGAGCACGCGTAGCCCGAGCCCACGCTTTGCCATCCAGCAGTTCCCTTTGAGGACGGTGGTGGCTGAATTCAAAGATGCCAAGGGCTTGCCGGTCTGGCGAATCCTTGAAGAGCGAGCGGATCTCCGTGACATGACGAGTCACCAGGAGAAGCTGACCCGAAGGGCGTTCCGGCTGATCTCCTTCTTTCAGGCCGCGACGCCGAAACCAAGAAAGAATGTTGAGGAATGTGATTCACAGATTTGAGCCCCATTGGTTTCGGCATGTTCGCTTGGCAGGCTTGAGATCCGCCGCTGCCGTTTCATGCTTGTACAGCGCTTGAGCTGCATGGCCTGTGGTAAAAGGGTTTCTAGGCAGGAGAGCTTCCACGACGGTCGCAACCCCCCTAGATTCCGCACCGTTACTGGCAATGGGACATGTACCAAAGTTCTTGGTACATCTCTGTTGTGCCAACCATGTGAATTCTCACAGATTCGTCACTACCAGGAGTGGAGTGATAGCTGATTGATCATAATAGCCAGCATTTTCGTCAGGTCATCAGTGGCCAGCCCGAGAACAAGCGCTTAGAGGAGCTTTTGCCCGGAATCATCAATCAGCCGCCTGGCCACAAACAGATGCACCCCATGGATGCAGTCCATGTCAAGTGCGAATGCCATCGGACAGAAAGAGGAACACAGATCTAGAATCCAAAAGTATGTCCACCCCAGAGTGTTGAACAAGTGTCAGTTTTGAAGCATTTTGAAGACATGACTTGCAAAAACATCATGTTAAACATCTTGATGTCTGTACCCTAGGCGGCATGCGGTTTGCATAGAGGACACATTGTTCATGTGTGAATGGACATGGCCCGTTTTTGACCAATTTGGACGTGTTCCATTTCAGATTCATCCCTTTATCACCTGTACTGAGTCCTGCAGATCCCGGTTCTTTGCGTTCGCTCCATGAGTTTTCCTGACCCTTCAATCCTTCATCCTGACCCGGACCGACCCCGGAAGCTGCTACACGTTGCTTCGGTCCCTAACTCGCCGGGGACCGCGTGACTCGGGTCCAAACACCGGGAGAAAGCGAGTCCTGGCGAAGCGAACTAGGCTGGGAGCCGACAACTTGATGAACTTGAGAAGAATCGCTGAAGGCGGATGGCACGTGCTGGATGGGAATGCATGTGTTGAAGCCTAACGGCCTACTCCGAACTGGATGTTAGGAACATATCAACAGGGTCCTGTCCCTGGCAATGTAGACGATGGCATCAGCGCACTTCAACTTCCCAGAACGTGAGTTGAATTAGTGAGCCTGGCCAATTTCGGGGGTTAGTTCATCCTCACCTTTTCCAGTGCCTTCCAAGTAGAGTTCCGCGAGACGCGAACTCGCCGAGGAGCTCATCCTTGGAACAAGGAGATCACATTCGGCATATTCCTACATCCATGATATTCCTACATCCACTTCGATTGGACTTTGGACTTTCACTCCCGGCACCTTTCCGCCGGATTCCTCCGCCGGAATCCGGCGCCTGCCCCGAGAAACCCCGGCCAGGCTTCCGTTCTGCACCGCAGGAAGCAGGAGGCACGGGCTGCCGGGGCTGAGGAGGAGAGGGGAATCCGAGGCTAGTCCGGTGGGTTTCTTTCGGCCAGACGTGGGAGATTCCACCCTGACCCAGAGCCCGCCTAGGCAACGCTAGGCTAGCTTTGAAGTGGTGGACTGTTTGGAAGATCAGGAGGTCAAAGCCTTTCTTGCCAGCACAAACAGCCATTCCTCTTCTGGTGAGTCGATGCCTTCCGGGGGAAAGTCGGATCATGCACAGCCTCACCATTCGACTTTAGCAGGTGATGACATCCCGGACATTGGCTCGGGCCCCGGCACTGGAACTGCTTCTCGAGTTGTCTCACACCCCAAGAGACGGCACTGGCACCCCAAGATGTCTTTTGGATATTTGGGGGAAACATCGTCAACCATATTTGGGATGGGGAGGCATATATAAGCCACCAACCTTGGGAATAGTGCCGGTCAAATATTCTATAGATTTTCTCACGTCGGCCTGCACCAGCTAAATTTTGATCCAGGTTTCCAGGACCTTGCAACTTGCAGCTGGGCGCGGCCCCTCACTGTCTCATACTGAGGCGAGAATTTTGAGGAGGTCAGCAAGCAGTGAAGCTGCCAGCCGCCGATTTAGAGCGATAATTTTGAACAGGTCAGATAGCAATCGAGCTATATAGAGCTTAACTACGTCGCACTGAGTCTCGTCATCGACTGCAGGTGTAAAAGGCAAACAGGGCCGAAGGGCGCTCATGATTTTGATGCCTTCTGCTTAAAGGCTTAAATCTGCCAAACCTACTACTGTAACACATCCTCAAGCTGCCAAAAACTGCTGCCAAGTTGCTGCTGGCATTGCGAGAGCGACGTGTGGCTGTTTTGAGAATGTATTTGCTTGAGATTCGGGGCTGACACGTCTCTTTCAGACTGCGTTGCGCTGCATGTCATATGTGCAATGATGACACTTCCCCTATCTTACTTACCCTACTTCCTGTCCACATTGTACTTCTTGGGGATGATGTGGGGTGAGCAAAAGAGCACAATGAGCCTCACTGCAATTCAGAGAGGTGTTGCATCATCATCATCATCATCATCATCACCACCTGGCAGGCTCAAAGGCAGTTACAAAACCATACGCTGAAAGATCCAACGTCCATGAGAGATGATGAACACCAAGAGATCAATATCATCATGCTCCCGATTCTTCAGCTGAACATTTGATATTGGTGCATGTTGCATAAGATCCCAGGCTGCTATTTTCTTGAATTGGATGGCCACATGCCCATCACCTAACCCCACTTTCACAATGACTCAAACACCACAACGATCTTGATCAACCACTTCACTTGCGATGTTTGCCGCTGTATGTTAGTCCATCCGAGCCCATGGCAACTCAGATGGCCGGCGTTTAAGCGATGGGAGTCGTGTCAGAAGCCCAGCGCACTCGGACCATCATGGACCCCGAACTGTGGGGCGAGCGATTTCCACCTCGCATGGCCAGTGTGGTGCTGGTGGTCTTGCTTCGCCCCTGCCTCTGCAGCGGCCGAGGTTGTCGCTCGTGGAGGCGTCTGTGAGCGTGACAGGCGGTTTGGGGCGGTGATCCTTGGGGGAAGGACTGCCGAGTGCATCCGATGTTGTTAGCTTCACTAATGGTTCACTGCTGAACGGTGCCGAAGATTGCAGGTTCGACCTGTGTTTTTGGTTCAACATTTTGCTGCTGGAAGCACCATTCGGCCGTTGAAAGCGACGCCCCCTCAAAGGTTTTCTGATGTTTTCCGCTTCCATTTGATCAACCATTAAAACAGAGAAGCTATATAGTGTAACCATAATAGTATATAGTTGCGCCTGCCATTCCCAAAGATTGGGGACGACAACTATTCTGGTCACCGTACGGGAGATCCCCCAAAACATAAAAAACTGCAAGGAATCCTTGTTTGTGGATGTCAGCCAACTAGAGGTCAGTAGAGGTCCATTGTCCAGACACATCCTGTATCTTCCTTAAATCTCGCTCCTTGAAACACTCAGATGAGGTGGGAGTTTCACCACCTCTTTGGAGAGGACATGTCCAAGGGGCCACTTCCATGATGACTTCAAGGAGTGTACCGGTGCACCGTCGTCTTTGCGTGTTTTGTCGTCTTCCGCCGGAGACGTTTCCAGGCAGCAGCGTGGGTCTCTGCACGGTGCTTTGCGGTCTTCACTCCGTTTGCTCAGGCGGCCAGGGGAATAGGACGGGAATTAGCCAAGAAGAGCGAGACACAGACTGTAGGCATCTGTAGGCAATGGTCTTCAGCTGTTTCAGAGGGAGCAAGTCGATGATGTCGATTTTCGCGGTCCACAGACCTAGAAGAACAGAAAGTGGAGAAAGGAGAGAGGCCAAAAAGAGGAACCATCTGCGTTTTTTTTTTTTGTCTGGGTTGTGTCCTATAGCGTACAAGTGCCCCGGCCAGATGAATTGACATGCTATGGAATTCTCAATTCAATCCTTTGAATGCGTGTGTTCTTTTCGGCACCTCCCACCAAACACGACAAAATCTTGGAAGTAATTATATATATATAACCCTAGAAGTCCAAAGACTATATTTTGACCGGCTGAAGTAAAGGAAATTCCCTTTCGGGTCATAGTCTTTGACCATTCTTTTTATAGTCTTTGACTCTCAGGGTATACATGGAAGTCACAAGGCTCAGCATGTTCTCCTCCAGCAAGAAAGGCCTCCGGTTCCGCCAGGCTCCGCGCTCCTGTGCACTGCGGGGCTGCAGGAAGTGCATCGGGCGCAGGTGCGTCCTGCGCAGGGCGAAGGGGTACAGCAGTGAGACTGCGCAGTCCTGTTGGGTATTTTACAGTACATTCATGCCTCTCCAAATCGTTGACATGCCTTTGGACTGCGCAGGCTCGCGAAATCTGGGTCGAACCACTGGGCCACCGAAACTGCCACCTCCGCACAAGCTGACGGGAGATGAAGTCGTGAAGTGATGTCCCGTGGCACGAAACCTGCCCAGGACTCTGTGGGGAAGCATGCGGCCGAATATCTGAGCCGCTCGGCCGGTGGAAGCTCCCAAACGACATCGAACGACTGGGTCCACGGCGCAAGCACATGCTTGCACTGCGCATCCAAAGAGCACTGTGATTGCCCATCTTTGCAACGTCAGTGCGTTAGTTATAACTGTATAACTTATAACGTGTTTTGTACGACTGAACATTCAGGAGTCGTCCGAACCCCCTCAACCGACCCCGAAACCCCTCGGTTTCCGCGGTCAGTCCATTCAGTCCACGAAGCGACCAAGCCTGAAGACATCGCGTGTCGCCGTCGTGTCCGGAAGGTTCAGCCACCCGCCTTTTTATTTTGGGATGTTGCTTGGGGCCAGTCGTAGGCGACCGCCTTCGACCAAAAAACACAAAAACATGTTGTTTGGTTTGGGGCGGGTTTTGGGCAAGAATTTTTGGCGCCTTGCAAAGACGAGGCTTGTGGAGGTTTTGACGACATTGTGGCAGAATCATGAGTCAAAGACTGAGATGTCACTGTCACTGAGTCTTAGCAGCCTTAGCAACCAAGAGTTTGGATTTAGTGGGCGAACTGGTCATGCTGGTGAAAGAAATGTGGCCTGCAATGTTTCTTTCTGGAACCTGGAAACAGGATGCAGTAGCTATCTTATGCTGTATATAAGTTAAAGCATATACGTCCACGATCCCGACAAGTCTCCAGAACCTCGGAGTGCAGTTCCCCCCCGGTCACCATGCTTGCGGAGTAAACGCTGCTTGCGAGCATCCAAGGGGTGCTGCTTTCAAGGGAGCCTTACTGAGCTCGGGGCTTCATTGGACACTTGCTCGACTTGCGCCCAGGCCGGCTCCGAAGTGCGTGGGACTCCCCACAGAAGGCGGGCGGTTTCGTCACCCAGCGGGTTGGTCCTGGTGGAACGGGACGGCGGGCGGTTGGTTTGCCAAGGTTGGGAGGTGCGTGTTTTCACATGAAAGGATCTAATAATCTATATCGAGGCTGCAGAAACATGCAGAAGCCCGCCTGCGATCGGAAAAAAAGAGTCCGATGCTTCGTCATAAGAGTTGTAGAGCTGCAGAAACACGGCCCACTCCGCAGAGCTGGGCCTGAACCAATTCGTTCCTTGCTTCAGAGAAACCATTGCACCGGTTTCGGAGCCTGAGATGTTTGTTGGACCGGTGGATTCATGTCAGTGGGTAGGCCACCTGGGGTCCTACATTCCCCTTTCTTGGGAGGTGTTGGTCTGGAGTTTTGGGCTCCAAGTGTGCTGATCCCTAGCGCAGGCTGCATCAGTTTGGCTGCTATCGCCTTTGGCGATGTTGCTGTGGATGCTCTCTCTGCAGCCTGGGCGCTCAGTGGAGAAGGGGCACCATTTGGCTTTCGCATCATTGAAGTGCAAAAGTCCAAATGTGTTGTAGTTTGGGTCAACGACACATACAATGATACGTGAACATGAATAGCATTGTATAGCCAACTCAGTAAACCTCACCTTGCCCTACCTTTTGAGGAGACTAAGTTCCCTTGGCAGCTTGGCTAGTGATTGAACTGCTGTAGTTTCATTTCACCCTGATTTAGCTGCAGAGAAGCCGAAGGACTGGGTTCTGCTTGGCCAACTGAGGCGCTCACTCGACGTAATGATTTGGTTTGGGTCAATGGTGTAGACTCTAGACCAACACCACGGAAAGGCTGCTTACTGGAAGAAAATACACAGTCACCGGCGTTTTATAACCCATCCTTCCGTAGTGCTGGGATTTGGATATTGTGTGCTAGTGCCTGGTGCCAATTGCCCACGCAAATGGTCGCACCCAAACACAGAGTGGGCTGCCCGTGCAGCCTGGCGGCAACCTGCGTCAGGTCTTTGCACCATAGCAGTGATAGATCTTCTCGCTCGACCCGAAATGCCAAGAAGACAACAGCATGCAATCTCACTGAGGATATCTGAGGATCATGTGTTTCCAAGCGTTCAAGTGCTGAAGTAGCCTCCAGTGGAGCGTTTGTGAGTGTTTGCTGTGGCTGGAGCAGGAGGCTGAAGGGGTTGTTGCACTTGGTCACTTGATTTCTGCAAGCCCAGGTGCTTCCTTCTCTGCCGGGTGGTGTCCGTGCAGCCAGGGCCCCGAAACGGGTGGTTCTCAGCACCCCAAGGGTCCACAGGTTTCGTTCAGGTGCAATGTGGCTAAAGAGTGCAGAACCGCTCAGGAGAGAAAGCGTGGGAACCAAAGGGAGCTTGGTTGAAGAACTTATACTTCAATTCTGCCTGAGTGACCCAGCTTTGGATGAATAGGCGTACGCTGGGCAGCGGAGCCATCTGATCATCTGGAGTGTCATGAGATTTCACTGAATCAAATAAAGATGAATTGAGTAACTGTTTGTCGTGGCCATTTCGTCGTGGCCTCACTGAGTCGTAGCTGCCATGCGTGGCCGCACTGAATCACATCAAGTATAGATGAATGGGCAATCAGAATGAGGATCCATGGCGGTCCATGTTTGCCATTTGTCCTGGCCCACGCCCAGGCACACAGGCCAAGTGGCGCTACCGGCCCTCGTGACTTGGCACCAACCAGGTGCGCTGCAAGGTAGAAGTACCAACCAGGTCAAAAACCCACAGGGGCATGATCAAGAAGACGTTTCTGGGAGATTTCGGCCCTTGCTCGTTGCGAACGCGGCACCGACCAACGGACTTAACGGACAGTCACCCCGTCTTGACCGCACCGGTGCGCTGCGCCTAAGGTGGGGGCCTTGGGAGTCTTGTTCGTGGCTCCCAAGCTCTGGTGGTATCTCATGATGGCCGCTGGCCTCCTCGCGCCGCTGCTCACGCTCCTCGTGGCCGAGCAGAGCGCGTGCCGCGCGGACGCGGAGGCGCTGGCAGAGGCGGAGCAGGAGGCAGAGGGACCGGTGGAGGAGGCGGATGAGGCGGGGTGGTGGTGGTGGTGGTGGTGGTGGTGGTGCGTTGGTGATGCAGAGAGAGAGAGAGAGGAATTCAGCATGAAGAATTGTCATGAATTGTCACTATTGGGACTCAGAGCCTTTTTGACAATTTTTTGCTTGCAATTCATTCTTGGGGATGGGTGCCCTTTTTCTTTTTTCTTCCTCCGCTTCCTCGGAGGCTGCCCATGTGAGCGACATGGATGGCGAGGGAGAGTGAGCCGGTGAGCTGTGGAGGTTGAAAAAGAATCCTCAAGAATCTTCAGTGCCTCCTGAGATCGCCAGCGAGTTCGCTGAGTTCGGTTTCGCCACGGATGGCCGGCATGTAGTCCAAGACTCCCAGGGGCCTGGAAGTTGGAAGAGGAAGATGGATGTGTATGATGCTTGAAGGCCTACTTTTTCCTGTAACACAGGTCTGGGGCTCAACCCAGGTTTGGGACGTGTGATTGAAAATCCTGGAAGCTCCAAATGTTTCTTGAAGTTTCTCGGTGTGGTGGAGGCTCTGGCTGATTCAGGGGGGGCCAAAGATGGTCCCTTTTGGTTGGGGGGAGTTGTTGATTTGGATACGAGGATGTGTGCCGTTGGCGTTTTGGCTCAGCTTTAGCTGAATGGCAAGCGTTCCAGGTGTTCCTTGGCCAGAGTGGTGGAGTGAGGCATCCCACTCCCACCGTCAGAAAGCCCAACTTACTAGTGTAGCGTGTGAGAATCAGCTCTTCATCCTGGCATCCGGTTCCAGGAACTCCCAGGTGTATTCTGAGTGATTTCTAGGCGTTTCTGAGCCCAGAAGAGAGATTGCAACAACTCGTATGCATCCCAGAAGTATTGGTAAACAGATCATGGGCAAAATATATTGGTAACATGATCCTTAGAAGATGAGGACCCCTAAAGAGATGTAATGCAAACATACATACATACATACATACATACATACATACATACATACATACGTACATTCTTTGTGTTTGGTCACCCCAAGTCATCCCGCTCTGCGCTGCGCTGCTGCGCTCCGGTCCTCAGGTGCCCATGCTCGGCTTGGGAGCGTCTCGGCCGGGCGGAAGAACCCGATGTAGACCACCAGGGGGGAGCGTTATATATATATAACTATAACAACATATTATATACATACATAATCACACACATATATAGAGAGATATGGATAGCTTGCGGAAAAGGTCAAGGAATCATGTTTCCGCTTAAAGCGGGCTTCCCCCAGATCCCAGGACCGGACGTGGGTCCACTGCTGGGAGGCCTTCAAAGGGGGAAAAAGGTCAAAGCCCAGGTGCACCGCGAAGACGTATGAGCTGAGCGACCATGGGGGATTCCCCCAAGAAATTGATGAGTGGGATGACCCAGATCCATCCAGTAATGTAGACTCTTGAATAAGAAACTCCCCCCATAATGTATGAAGAGTCTTACACTCCAAATAGGGGGACTTTACTTTCATCTAAGCGTCGTCTACATGCATATTATGTCTACATGATGTTCCGGGATGGTGTTAGGGCGGCAGCATTCGGCATGGCTCGGCCCAGGTGGGGCGGGCCCAGGCGCTGCGCCATGAGGCGCGGCGCAGGGCGGGCGCGGGTCCGTGCCATGTGGGTCTCGGAAGCCGGGTGTGCACTCTGACGAACACATCACATGGAAGTAGATGGCACCCTGTTTGTAAAGGAAAGTATGTAAGTCTTCACAAGAGACCATTTTTCCACTTCCATGTTAGTGAGTCAGAGTGTAGAGGAGCCCATGATCTCCCATGATCCACTCACTGACAAACAAAAGCTGCTTGGTCTCGCACCGATTGTCCAAATCTTTCTCGTCATGGGTTTATTTGATCCATTTCCGCTTTTTCGTCATAGGCATCAAAGTGAGACTGTGTGCGACTTGGAACGGCGCTTAGCTTCCTGGCGGGGCCAATCCCCTAAGGCCCTCAGCGTTGGGGATTGGGGACAGAATGATACAGAATGGAATCATGGTCAAGTCCACCTGGCAATCATCTCCCCGCGCGGTTTCTAGAGAGGACCAGGATCTCGCCCGTGCTGGTTTTTAAAGCGTTGGGGACCCTCCAGGTGACAATAGTTATCGGTTGTTTCATGGTTGTTTCTAAATGCTCTTGGCTTGCCTGGTTGGTGTTTGTAGCTGGAAGGGTTCACCGTTCAATGAAAGGAGGCTGAAATTTCGCGCTCTCCCTCTCTCTCTCTCTCAGTTTGTATAGTAATATATGTTATGGACAATATAATACAATATATATATATAGATGCACACTGTGTACACACAATATCACACAATA